CTATATATATATATATATATATATATATATATATATATCTTATATATATATTGGTTTCGAAATTGGGTTTCAAATGAGAGACATGTTAAGGATAAATATTTTATTTTTAAAATAATTATAAAATAATAAACTAATTAAAACATTGAGTTTGTATTAATTTGTTATTTTATTATTTTGTTTTAAAAAAATTATTAAAAATGAAACTTTTGACATTTTCTTTTCTAAAATTTAAGTCTTTATATCTGAAGAAAAAGAATTTTAAAATGGATATTTCCGTTCATAGAAACGACCTTGTTTTTGCTGTCTTCATTTGGTGGCAATTGCAAATGTTGAAAATGAGTTATATCATAGTGGCCCAACATATCTTTAGGTTTAAAGTAAATTTTAAATGAGATTTTTTAAAAAATTAATAATAATATCTTTTAATAAAAAAATAAAATATTATGATTATGAGCCTTGAATAATATCTTTTAGAGATAGGTTTTTTAGGGTGAGGATTCAAAATTATAAAAAGTAATTTTTAAGTTTTAGACCTTTAAAAAATTGTATAAATATTAAGATATAATAATTTTTTTTAATGAACCCTAATCAAGGGTTTTATTAGTTTCATGTTTGTGTTAGTATGGTTATATCAACATATTTATCTATAATCTATTTTATAACTATAATAAAGATGATAGGTTTTTTTGTATATACATTTTTTTTAACCGTTTTATTCTTTTATAATCACTTTTAACTTAATCACATAAATTTTACTCACCAAAATTCTCTCATTTCATAAGTAATCACCTATTTTACAAGTACCGTTTTTGTATTTTTAATAATTATCTACTATTATATAATTTTTTATTATAATATTTTTAAAAATAATTCATAGAAGCAGGTAGTAACTTTTATACGCTAGTATTAATAAATTCGGGATGTGTATTTACTAAATCTCCTCCTTTTTTGAAACTTACAAAAAAATGTCCATCCATATTATTTATACTAGTAAGTTTATCATTTATTGTGCGGGTATTCATATATTTAAATAAAAATATAATAGTGAAATTACCATTTAATATTTATAAAATAATTAAAATTCTATTTTATTAAATAGAATTAAATTAAAGGGATAAAAATTTCGAAAGAAAAATATAAAAAAAATTGTATGAACTCACATAAATTTTTTTTTTCTGAAACAAATAACTTTTATGCCTATCAATTTAACATGATGTGTTCAAGTTAAAAAATAAAATTGAAATTAAATCAAAATTTGAGCTATCTAAATATAAGCAATAATATTTAAGAGAAGTGAAAAATAAAGAGAAATATAATAAGATACGTAATGCATTGTATGTGACTTGATGAGAAAGAAAACAGTTCCTAATTAAATTCTTTTATTAAAAAAATGAACACTTAAATTTATAATATAGAGATAAATACTAATACATATTGTAATTATGTCAATTATATGAAAAATTTTACAGTTTATCAATCTTTTTTAAATTTCTGGCTCTTTAGATAATAGAAAGTTTAAGAACTAAAGTCTCCATGGTGTAAAAAAAAAAAAAAAAACTAAAGTCTCCAATACTTATGAACTAAGCAAGATGCATGCCTGACAAAAAATAAAAGTCAATGGCAACGAGAAGGCACACCTTGGTTTAATCTTAACTTTCGCCGTCCAAATATAATAATATAAATAACTTTCCCTTATTGCAACAGCCAAGACCCTTCCATTAGAATTACCCGTCCAAATCTAATGCTAAATAAATAATTAAAATGCTTTTTTTAACTATATTTGTATTTATTTTATCTTAGTCACTTAATATTTTATACGGACATTAATTTTTAATTTTCATAAAATTAAAAATTTCTATCACATCAACCCAAAACGGATAAAATAAAAAATAATAATAATATGAATTAAAAGAATTATAAAATTGTAAATATAGGATAAAAAGATATATCTTAAATTATAAAAATTAAAAAAATTGTAAAAATAAATATAAGAATTAAAAAAATATATTTTAAATTATAAAGATTAAAAAATAAAGTAAATACAATTATAATAATTAAAGGAATATTGTGACGTAGCAAGTTGGTGTTTTAGTAGCCCAGAACAGGCCGTTCCCAATCTGGAACGGGCCGTTCCAAGCTATTAAAATGACCAGTAAATCGTAGCTGAGAACGGGCCGTTCTGGAGGGAGAACGGATCGTTCTGGTTGGAGAACGGGTCGTTCCGGAGGGAGAACGGGACGTTCTGGAAGGGAGTACGGGCCGTTCTGGTTGAAGAACGGACCGTTCTGGATGAGTTCCAAAACAGGAAGTTCTGATTTAAGAACGGGCCGTTCTGCATGCAATTTTTGTACGTGTTGAGGAGGTGCAGAACGGGCTGTTCCGGTTTCGGTACAGGTCGTTCTGGCCACTCCGAAATGTCTATAAATAGGGGCTATGGGCAGTTGAGGGGAGGAGGTTTTTTTAGCGAGAAGATCTAGAGAGAAGGGTTCTGGACTGGAAAGCTGACTTTTGAAGGATTGAAGTTCCGAGCTGAGCTTCGGAAAGGGGATTCCGCTTCTTAGCTATCCTGATCCAATCTTCAGGTAAGGGAAGATAGTTGAAGTTAAGTTGATAAGTTGCTATAGGTGTGGACATGTTTATGTTGTAAAGTGGTTGACTTTGCTGACTAATGTTGTTAATGCTGTATGATGAAAAGTCGAGTTGTGAAGTATGTTGTTTATGTTGTTAATGATATAACGCTGAGCTGTACTGTATGAATGCTAATGCTGAATTCCGTTGTTGAGCTGATTAATGATGAGTTGTGTTGTGGGATGTTCATGCTGAATCATGATATTTAAGTCGTTTTGTATAATATTGAGTTGTTTTGATGAAAACAGGTTTTCGGGGTTTCCAGGGTTTTGATGAAAATCATGAGGTTTTCTTGATTTTGGCTACATGTGGGTAAAGCTGGGATTTTTGGGTTGTTTGATGAAAATGTGATGTTTTGGGCTGATTGCATGTGTTTGGAAAGCTGATTTGGTGCAGGTTTAGAAGAGATTTTTGAAGTTTGAGGGTTGCTGCTGGGTATCACGCCGGGCGCAGTTCTTCGCGCCAGGCGCGTGACCTTCAGAGGGCCCCATTGGGCAAGCTGCCGGGCGCAGTGGTGTATGCGCCGGGCGAGCTTGAGGGTGTGAGCCTCTAGATGGCCCCCCGCCGGGCGTGGTTGGACCGCGCTGGGCACGATATCATTAAGTGACATTGTTTGGGGATTTCTGGTGTGGTGCTGGGCGTGACCTTGTCTCACCGGGCGTGGAGACTCCTTGGGAGTCTCTACCAGAGGTGGCGCCGAGCGCAATTTATATTGTGTCGGGCGTGAGACTTTGGGGAAGTCTCTGCTTACCCTGCGCCGAGCGAGGGTTTGCACGCCGGGTGTGTGAGACCCTCTGAGGTCTCTGCCTCCTAGCACGCCGGGCGCAATGGGAATTCCGCCGGGCGCGCTGAGCCCTGGTGCTCTCTAGTTGTGCCGCGCTGGGCGCAGACATGATATTTGATGTTAAGCTGTTATGTATAGAAATTTGCTGATAGATATGCTGAGCTGAGCTGTAGTTGTTAAACATTGTTGTGCTGACTAGTTGATAATGCTGAATTATGCTGTTGAGCTGAAATTGATGAATATGTCGTGCTGTTAGATGTTATTGCTGATTAGGGATGTTTAGGCCGTGCTGTGAGCTGTGGTTTGATGTTAAGCTGAGTTGTGCTGTATGCTGATATTGTTGTGTTGTAAGTTGTTTAGCTGAGTTGTAAGCTGCTAATTGCTGTATGCTGATATTGTTGTGTTGTAAGTTGTTTAGCTGTGCTGGATGCTGATATTGTTGTGTTGTGTTGAGCTGTATGCTGTTATTGCCGCTAAGTCGGTGTTGTTATTGTCGCTAAGTCGGTGCTGTTATTGCCGCTAAGTCGATGCTGTTATTGCCGCTAAGTCGGTGTTGTTGTAGCCGCTAAGTCGGTGCTGTTATTACTGCTATGCAGTGCTGTGCTCCGTGCTGATAGGAGTTGTTGTAGGCCCTAAGGCTGAGTTGTTGATCACTAAGACTAGAGGAGATGTTTTCGAAATTCCTCATCCCATTGTGTGGATTGAGTGGTTGTGGTGCTCTTAGAGCCCAATTTGTTGAAAACCCCCCTTGGAAAGCTGATCCTTGGAGTGGTAACTTGTTGTTCTCCTCTAGGTCCTTAGTGGTCCCGTGTGTGGGCACGGTCGAGGCACACATGTACAAAGCGACCACGGCATAGGGGTCAGGTCGAGCTATACCACTTACAAGCGACCAATACTAACTTATGTGCGTGACGACGCATTGTGTGTTTACCGCTGTGTATTGCTGTTCTCTGCTGTTATTGCTGAATGATGTGAAATGTGTGCTGTTATATATATTAAGCTGGTGTTGTTAAAATGATTGATGTGCTGATAGCTGTAACTGCTTATTATTCATATATTTATATATGTATGTTGTTTCTTTCACTAGCTTACCCTTTGTTGTTTCCATGTGGTTTGGGCTGCGATGATCATACTATGTATGGGAGCATGGCAGGGTTAGGTTGGTGTTTACTGAGGAGAGTCTGCAGCTAGCAGATGAAGTTTTCTTCTTTTGATGTATTTAGCTGCTTAGTTAGCATTTGCTGGATGTATTTTGTACACTCTGATTCTAGACGGATTTTGGACCTTGTATATATATATATATTCAGGGACGGAGCCAGGATTTCAATACTGGGGGGCCGAGAATAAATAATATATAATTTATAATAAATGAAAATTAAAGTATCAAAAGCATATTATCTGACAAAACTAGATAATAATTAACATAATTTAATAAAAATTATTTCTCATATTTACATTTGATAAATATATCGAACATATTGCAAGATCAAGTTATTCAAGTATGTACCTTTATTTCTTAAGTTGTGCCCGTCGTTGTTTCATGAAGTAAAAATCATCAATTATCATATCAGTTGTAAATCTTCGTGCAATCTCCTTCTCAATATAAACAATCATGTAGTCAGTAAGAAAACCATCTTCCATCTTGTTGCGCAAACTTGTTTTTATAATCTTCATAGCTGAAAAAGCACGTTCTGTAGTTGCTGTTGACACGGGCAGAGTAAGAACAAGTCGTATCAATCGATCAATTAAAGGATAAACATTTGATTTGCCAACCTCTACTAGTTTTTGACATAATTCACCAAGAGTTGACAAATTATGAAATTTGGGATCCTTTGGCACATCAAACTCATAATGTTGCAATTCATATTCCATATGAATCATTTCTTGGTCAGAAAAATCTGAAGAGTAAAATTTCTTAGCTAGACTACAAATATCACAAGCATTAAATGATTTGAATGCATCTTTAGGATCCAAAGCTACACTCAACATAAGAAGTTCAGTTGATTGCTCGCTGAATCTACTATTCAATTCTTTCAATTGATAATCTATCGCTGCAGTAAATATATCTACACGATAATGATGCTCAACTGTCACAGAATCCTTTTTAAGCCGAGTTCGAATTATGTCAGAGTAAGTAGCACTCATATCAGGAATTGGTACACCTCGGCTATTGCAAAAAGAGTTAACATTTTCTAAAAGAGAATCCCAACCAAAATCCCTTAACTTTTGAATTAGTGACTTTGTGCTAGAAACCAAACACATAGCATTCACAATGTCTTGATTCTTTTGCTGCAAAGCTTGACAAAGCTTGTCTGTGATTCCCATAATTTCTTTCATAACATGTAAAATGAAAACAAATTCAAAAGACATCAATACTCTGAAAGCATAAGTAGCATCACCTCGTTGAGAGCCAGTTCCATTAACCACCAAATTGTTGGGGGGGCCGTGGCACCCGTAGGTCCCCCCTTGGCTCCGTCCTTGCATATATTCTAGACCCTATACGTATATACTTGTTCGTTTCTGTGTAGTATTCTGGTATGCTGTGCTGTGTGTATTGACCAGGTGGGTCGTTACAAATATTTAAAAAAAAATAAAAATTATCCATCCTATTCTGTAGATGGAGAATTTATTTAAACAATAATGTATTAAATTGTCAATTTCTTTTTTAACAAGTATCGAATTACTTTTAAATAATTGACCTTCCATCATATATTTAATTAAGTAATAGAATTATAAATAATCTCCACTTGTGTAAATATTGTTCAATTTACTCTGGTACTATGAAAACAGTTTTACCTTACATATGATTTGCTTTTTATTCCGAAACTTAATCCCACACACACACACACATATATATATATATATGAGGAAGGTTCAAACGACACCGGTGTAACTTTAACTAAGTGTTACACCGCTCAAT